CCTGATATTGTCACATACAGTAGCCTTATTAATGGCTTTTCTGAACAAGGACTTGATGAAGTGGCCTTGGATTTGTTCAGAAGCATGCCGTGCAGGGCTGATATATTTAGCTACAATGCTACATTGAAGGGTTTGTGTATGGCCGCACGATGGGATGATGCTAGAGAGCTTATAGCTGATATGGTCACAAAAGATTGTCTCCCAAATGAAGTGACATTCAATATACTAATCAATTCCTTGTGCCAAAAAGGACTGGTCAATCGTGCAATTGAGGTTTATGAGCAAATGCCCAAGTATGGAATTACACCTGATATTTTCACATATAATGCTCTTATCAATGGCTATTCTGAACAAGGCTGTTTGGATGATGCGCTCAAGTTCTTGAGCACCATGCCTTGTGAGCCTGACACCATTTCCTATAATTCTGTACTGAAGGGTTTGTGTAGGGCTGAGCGCTGGAAAGATGCAGAGAAACTTGTCACTGAGATGCTTAGAAAGAATTGCACTCCAAATGAAGTAACATTCAAGTATGCTAATCAATTATTTATCAAATAGGAGTGGTTGAATGCATAACTAAATTCTTGGAGCTAATGCCAAAGTATGGATGGCTATGTTCTGAAGTGTATGCTGTCTTCATTGATGCCTTTTCGTGGCAGAGGTCAATGATCCTCTGAGCTAAGAAGCAGCATAATTGTGCAAGCCTAGCGTAGTTTTCTATTATGCTGCATTAATGGCATTTTTCTGTAGAAATGAACAACAGGAGAATTAAAAAACTTCTAGCTGACAGAAGCAATGAGAGCATCCCAGGAGTTCGCATTTGTGATTGATAGGAATTCATGCTCCAAAATGAAGTACTAATTGGTATACATGGAAGAGGCAGTTCAATCTGGGATAAAGTTTGTTGGCAAATGGCTGAAAAAGGTTTATAGATAGTGTCTGGCTGCCTGCAAATGATATTTTAAAGGATTGTCAAGGTACATAGCATTACTGAGAAAATGTCAAGCAACAAAGAAGCATATCATAAGATCATGTATGATGCTATTAAATCATCTACTGGAGAACCGTTGGATCCAAGATATTCGGGGTACGCTATCTGTCATGGTCGAGTTCATAGATGTTTGGGACTTGGTGACTATTCAATTTAATCTGTCTGTAGTTGTTTTCCTGTAGAAGGGCAGGCCTGGTGCAGTGGTGAGAGCTCTCTCACTGAGTCACCAGGTCGTGGGTTCGAAGCAGCCTCTCCGCAAATTTTGCGGGGGAAAGGCTTGTCTCGGTTTATCCCTTCCCCAGACCCCACTCATGTGGGAGCCTCCGGCACTGGGTCTGCCCTTTGTAGTTGTTTTGCTGTCTATACCTACCTTTTGTTTACTGTTAATTATATACCACTAGATTTTTTTCTGTTTTACATTTGCCATGACAGAACCTGGATAGTGCTTCCTTTGTAGTGCAATTGGATGTTTTAAATTTGCCAGAACTGTTGTGGTGACCTACCATTGCTTTCTTACCTTTTATTGATATGCAAATATTTTACCCAGTTTGCATTCTATACCATAATCAGGTCTTACGCCATCTATGGAGCACATTCTTTGTGTCGATGTATCAGAATTGAGAAGGATCTTTGAATTGCTCATATGTAAGTCTTCTCCTAAGTTGTAGCAAATGTGCAGCATGTTTCTCTATGGAGAACCTCCTGCGACATAGGACGAGTAAGGCATGTGGGTTTAAGCTAAAAAAAAGTGGGTGGGTGGGGTCTTTGATATATTGGTAGGTGTGAAGCTGGTGTAGAAATGTAGAATGCTGAATGTAGCATGTGTTTCTGACTGTAGTCATGCAATTTTATTGTACATGTTATGTCTTTAGTAACTCAGCTTCAGCTATGACTTTGATGCTTTTTTTTCTCGAACACGTAGGAGACCTATGTATCTTTGTACTAAGAAGGAAAAGAGAAAAATTTGGTGCAGACAGTATGTACGGGGTGGCTGTGAATACAGTCACGTGATGCCTGCCGCGCAGATGCTGTAGGGATCCGACAGAAGCACCCAAGTCGCTTGGCTCCTCACAAGCTCATTGCAACACTCGGCTCCGCATGACGGCCAAGGCTTGATCGGCCTAGTTCCTTGCCGGTCGCCGCTTTCCTTTCTCCTCTCCCAAGGCAGCTGGTTTCCACCGCCGCTGCCTCTCTCCTCCCATGGTTGTCGCTGCCTCTCTCTGCCCCCCACGACCGATTCTCTTCTCCTGCTGCACCACAAGGCAACCAGGACAACCACTGCCCCCCAGTGGCAGTGCCATCAGGCCCCAGTATTTGGCACCTGTCGAGCAGAAGATATCAAGTCCATTTTGCTGTTGATTAGTTGTCGTGGTTGTGCACTTTTTGAAATAGGGAAGTAGATTCTTTTTTGGTTTGTTTCATGCAGTACCATGGACATCCTTTGTAGTGTTTTTCTTAGTTTAGCTGAAGAAATCTTTTCGTAGTTCAGTTACCCGCCTTCTCTTAAATACTAGTATAAGTTACCTGTTACATTTCTGAAAATAATGTGCCTCGTTTCAGGCTTGTGCTGCTGAAAGGCAGCATCTGGGTTCTACTGCTATGTCATCTTTGAGCACCACAGGAACTAACCTGCTCTCAACATCTCTGACGTACGATCGGCTCGCTTTCAAGCTGAACATGGACAACAATCGTATATACAATCACCCTGCACTTCTTACATTTCACTTGGTGTTGTCCTTGCCTGTAACCCCAATCTTCATCACCAATAAATTACCATACAGGTTACATAAGGGTGTGTACACTGATCAAAACAATCCCATGCAATCTTAGAAAAGAGAGACACCATTGCTTCCATACAATCTGTGTGACCTGTAGTGAAGAAATTCTCTTGTTTGAAGCTGTTAAGGCACATGGAAATGATGATACTCGGCATAGTCTGATGCAAAACTGCAAAACTAATCAAAGCAATACTGAACATCTGCTTGGCCTGCTTGGCTGCTCATCCTCGTGATGATCCCTACTTTATCAACCAAGTCTCTGGGGATGGATGCCACCAACAGCATATGCCACAATGCCTGGGTGCCGTGCCACCAGACCGCCGCCACACCATGTAAGAGCAAAGTATAATAGTAGACTGTAAGCTGGCTAAATGCTGATGTAGAGGAGAGAGGAGAGGAGACAGAGGAGAAACGAATTGTAAGCTTACAGCCGGCTTAGGCATAAGAATAAAGAAAGTTTGTGAGAGAGACAAGTGGGCCATGTATTAACAGTGATGAGTCAACTACTATATGGGTGGGCTAAGAGAAGGCTGCAAAGAAACCTTACAGCCAGCAGCTAGCTATATTATTAACCTTGCTCTAAACCCTTTCCGCGCGTCAGGGCGAGCGCGAGGAGGCGAGGAGGCGACATCAGGGGCGGTGTTGGGGATGAGGCAGGCGGAAGTTGGATCAAGCTTTTGCTGCGCAACAGTTGGTCTCCCCGAAGGCCGTATGGACACGCATTGGCAGATGGCGGTGCGTATACAAAGCGCAGTTTGCATACTGGCTGCACCCAATTTTCTTTCAGAAAAATAGGCCAACACACACCAAGTCACCAACACATCCTTGTTTTTAGGTAAATAAACATACGTGGCTTTTTCATACAACAAACACGACCTTACCAAACTAGAACACCTACTACTAGTTACCAACTGGCTCCCAGGCAAGAAAGAAAGATATTCCCCAAGCCCCAGCCAAATTCCAATACATCTCGAAGGAGATTCATGATGACCATCAAATGCTATTTGTTGTGTGTTTTTACCTTGTTAATATACACCATCCTAAAGACATACTATGGCAATGTTTTGATATAATTTTCAGTTTAATTTCTAACCTGTTAACTTTTTTGATAAGTTTCAAAACCAATACATGTATAAGTTTTCCCCCTTGCGCAGCAACTTCTTTAGAACATGAAAACGTTTGCTTCAGTTGTGTTAAATTCCCTCCTTTTGTTCCCCCGTACAATTTGTTTCCAAGATTCGGGACTGGACCTTGTTTCCTCCTGATTAGGTTCTTTGCATGGCTTCTCTCTCTCTCTCTCTCCTTCCTTTGCCTTTGCATTGCATGGCTTTTCTCTCTCCTTCCTTTGCATTTGCATATATAATGATGAAGTAGCAACTCTGAAGCGTGCAACTTGTCATTGGAATCAGCTTGTCATGAGAGGATAGGGGTTTTATACTCTTCATTTCAAATTACAAGACATTTTAGCTTTTTTTTAATATATAGTTTTTTTTTATGTACTTAGATATGCACTATGTATATATACATAATAAAACAGTATATATAAAAAAGCCAAAACGTCTTATAATTTGGAGGGGTAGTATTTTTCTTGTGTGAATTGTAGAAGACATGTTATTTATACGGTTGTATAATAAATGAAACTAAGCAGTATTGATACATACATTTTTTTAGTACAAGGAACACCAAAAAATATTGTGGTACTGCAGTAATCCAAGTTTTTATAACTCGATCGTATCATGCTACATATCCAGAGTTGCTTGTTCAAAATTCCATCGATGATGAACCAGACAACAATCTTTTTGATTGGACTATTATCCATTTACTGTACATTTTATCAGGAACATGTCTGAAGCAGCATGTATAGCTGCAACTAGAAATGCAGATTTGGATTTTTGCTGACATTACACATACTCAACATATAGATCAACGTACTTTAATGACAAATATTGAACGAAAGAATATACTTCCTATGCAAGTCTGTAAGTCAATCAAGTCTCCATCCACTCATCCCTGGATAGTGGGAATTTTACCCAGTATCCCCTCTTAAGTTCGAAAGAAATTTAGCAATACAAATTCAGAACTGTCAAAATGAAGGGTATTCCAACTGCTAATAGAGCTCTGATTGACATTAGCACATAACCTATGTTCCTACGACAGCAGGTATGTGTAGCTTGGCACCACTTGGAAATTCCTCTCTTTCAGACCTTCAGAGATATACCATTCAAAGCGGAAAGTCATGAATCAGGTGGTGCATTATCTTTCTCATCTGCCTTGGGGTTTTCTCTCCGCCGCAACTCAAAGTGGTCAACATCGGCAGAGGGATCAGGGTGTCCAGGAGAACCAGTTGTTTCCATGCTCACCTCAGGGGATGTTTCAGTGTTGAGCTCGTCTTCTACAGTTTTTTCTCCTGAATGGTCACTTTCATCACTACTGCTGTACCCTTGGTTTGACAGCAGCATATCACCTTCGCTCACCTTGGAGTCTACTTCATCAATCGTCACTTCTGTCAGAGGGAGTCTCTGCTGGATAGGCACAGCATTGCTGATAGGTTGGCCTGTCCTCAGTTCTTCTTTATAAGCAGCCAACTGGGTCCGGTATCGCTCCTTATCCTGTACACCTCTTTCTTGATATACCTGAAATACCAGGAAGTCATACACGCCACATGAATATAGTGTGGAAAGTAACTGCAGGTTCAGAATAGTGAATCTTTAAGATTTTGTCTCCACTTACAGTTTTATCTTCAGGACTTAGATTGTTCCATCGTTCACCAATCATTTTACTGATCAGCCTGTCTTGTCCAGGATATTGTGGCTTAAGCATTCTATGTTGATCCTGGAAGAAGAAATTATAGCCACTCCTGTTTGGTTTGGGGTGCCTTGGGTCTGTTGTACTTAGCTTCTTCCTACGTCGTCTTCGGCGACGTCCACCTTTCAAATCAGTGCTGTTACTTGCAACAGGTGGCTCCGGAGTTGGTAGAGCAGGTTCTTCAGTGCAATTATAGAGGATTGCTTTAGTGGATTTTGATCCCATAGTAACAGTTACTATGTAGCCATGTTCAAACTTGCCATCAACTATCACATCTACGTCAACATTATCTGAAGACGAAGCTGGATCTGAAACAGTTGATCGAACAAGGAGTGAATAATATAATTTTAAAATAGCTTGATGCCGTCCATTGCAACAGGATTTCCTATAAGTATTCCAGGATTATAGTCATATAAAAATGTTTTCCGTAAATCATTTCCATTTTTTAACAACATACGGAACAGCATAATTTAGAAAATTGTTAAGTGGGCTGCAGAACCATCTACAGGTCAAGTTAGCTATCAAACTCACAGTCACAAGCTATGCTTCAATAAAGATTGAAATATCTTAGAGGCATTAGATTGTCAATATCTTGATAATTAACACAAACTAACCTGAAGGAGATGCATTGATACCCCTTTTTCTTTTGTGGTAAGCTTGGGCTTCGGTTTTAACTTCAATGGAGGAATTCGTTCTGGAATCTGCAGAGAGAACAAGGTATGTGTTAGGGGAGATTGCATCATCTAACTAAAAGGGGCATAAAATTCTGCAGATCACACAGACCTATTTCTTGTTGATGCCAGCCTTGCACTCTAAAGAAGTATAGCTGCTCAAAATGATATAAGAGTGACATATAGTATTTTTTCAACATAAAAGAAGCATTTGTCGCAGTGGCAGGGAAAATAAATGATGCAGTCACTTCTCTCCATCTATTCTCTGCCTTCACCTGTGGGAAACAAGATTCAGTTATTTATCCACCAGTCTGAGTTGGAATGTTTGCAAATTAAGTGAAGTGACAATGAGATAATGATAATACCAAAGTATTTTGAATAAACATGCCTTCAATTTAGCTTTTACTTGACAAAGATCATGCTTGCCTTCTCATTAACAACAAAACAACTAGCTTGCAAAAAAAATGATGTAAAAGCATCACTTAATATCCATGCCAGTCTAGTGCAACAAATCAGGCACATGAGTGATGTGGAGCGACATTAAAAGCAGGGTTTAAGTAAACCGAAAGATAATTTGAGGGCTTTAATGGACAATGTAATATTTTTGGGGAACGGTAAGGTGGACATTTCATAATTTATCATATGCTCTTGTGTTTCAAGGAAGGATCCATTTCACTCTAGCTACCAATACAAATGTAAGCTAGGACATATCTGTACTTTCTAACAAAGATTAATTAATTTAAGGAAGCAAAGTACTGTAAGATTTGTAAAAAGTAAAGATATTATGGACTTACTGAGTCACTGACCATGTGTAGCATTTACAGCATATATATAGTAAAAATGGTAAAAAGAATTAGGGATGCCCCTTAACGGTCTTACATAAAAGTAGAAAACTAGTGCAATTGCACAACATGCACAATTAAGTTAATAATCTGACAAGATAAACTACTTTATTAAGGAAAGTTGAACCTACAGCATTATATTCATTTCTTACCTTGTCAATACCACCCCGTGATGTGACCTCCTTATATAGCTGATGAAGATCCAAATCTTTCCCTCCAATAATCGGCACCCTTACCCCAAAAAAGGGTTAGAAATGAACCAGATGAGCATGGCAATTAATAAAACTAAAGAAAATAATGAATGCAAATCAGAAGAGATTGCCAAAGCAATAAGTCATTAGCTGGCATAGTATAAAGAGAAACAGATTTAAGTAAGTTTATCTAACAAGCAAGTCATTTTTTTAAAAAAACAAACTCAGTTGAAGTATTTTCTGTGTCAAGTAAGTTGTTTTTCAAGGAATAAGCTTGAATATTAGCTCAAATTGATCTAAATGTCAACTTTAAGTGAACAAAAATGTTCAGTAATCTAAGCCAACATAGAAAGGAAAGTCTGACCTCGATATTGTGAGAAAGGAGGATAGCACATAATACTATTATATCTATTTAATTAGATAATCCAATTGACGTTAGGAATCAGGGACACAACAGTTGAATTTCCATACATAATTGTATGAAACAGCAGACAAAAATAAAGAATAGGCTACAAGCAAACGACCTTCCTTTGCTCCAGGTCTATCTAATTCGGATGGCCATACATTTAAATGAAAACAACAGTAAAGCTTGAAGCCAAATACACCTTGCATGGTATTGCAATTTGCAACATGCAATAACCTGACAAAGCAAGCCAGCAAGCAGAACAAATCAGAGAACTAATGTTAGGATCGTTAGTGATGCTCCGGAGGTTGTAGCTATGGGACGTGGGAGGTTTGGGACGAGTCTCTCGGCGGTGGTGCACGTTGGACGCCGTCCTGACGGCCGGCGGCAAACAGAGACAATAGAGAGAGTCGACTGGGGCTCAAGGGCCAGAGAGAGCTTTCTCAATCTCTGACTCTCCCATTATTGAATAATTGATTGGCTTATATGGCCCAATCTTACAACTGAAAGTTCCTAAAATTACTCCCTGCCTAGCAACTTGAACTGAATCAAATCAAGATCCTAGAAACTAGGACTCCGAATCTGGATCGAACTCAGGCGCGGTCACCACAGCGCTGCCACAAGATGCGCGCGTTGCACCTAGCCACGTGCACGCTTGCGCCTCTGATACACTTGACCGACCATAACATCTCTCCCGCCGTCGACAAACAGCTCGTCCTCGAGCTGGAAGTCCGGGAAGGCTTGGCGAAACTCATCGAGGGGTTCCCATGTAGCTTCATCGGCCGACAGCCTTGCCCATTGGATGAGAACATGCCAATCGCCACGACGGAGCTGGGTGCGCAGGGCGTGGTCTGGAGCTTGAAGGATACGACCGTTGCGGAGCGGTGGAAAAGCCGGCGTAGTCGCGGGCGGGGTGCCGTGGAAGGGCTTCAAGACGCCAACGTGGAACACATCGTGGATGCGCGCATGCTCCGGGAGCTGCAGGCGGTAGGCGACGTCACCTATGCGTTCCAGCACCAGGAACGGCCCGGCGAAGCGAGGGCTCAGCTTGCCCCGACGGCCAGGCAGCAGCGATTGCGCCGGGCGGTGGAGGAGGCGAAGAAGCACCCAATCGCCGACGTTGAACTCCAGCGCACGGTGGTGCGCATCATAGTGCTTCTTGGCGTAGTTCTGTGCTTGGAGGAGTCGATCGCGAACATCAGCCAGGAAGACGTCCCTGTCCTGCAGGAGTGTGTCGACGATGGCCGTGCGCGCCGTGGCCGGTTCATAGGGCAGCAACGGGGGAGGTGCCCGGCCATAGACCACCTGAAAAGGCGTAGAGCGCAAGGCGGAGTGGAACGCCGTGTTATAGCAGAACTCAGCCCACGGAAGCCACTCCACCACGCACGCGCGCGGCGGTCACCACAGATGCACCTCGATCTGGTCACGATGGTCTTGTTCACTGCCTCGGACTGCCCGTCTGTCTGTGGATGGAAGGCATTGCTCATGCGTAGCTGGACGCCCGCCATCTTGAACAAGTCGCGCCATACGTTGCCGGTGAACACGGGATCACGGTCACTCACAATGGAGGCCGGAAAACCATGTAGCCGGACGATATCGGTGAAGAACGCGCGCGCGACCGAGGATGCCGTATATGGGTGGCCGAGCGCAATGAAGTATGCATACTTCGAAAAGCGGTCGACCACCGTGAGGATGATGCTCTTGCCGTTCACCTTGGGAAGCCCTTCGACAAAATCAAGCGAAATATCAGACCAAACCTGAGAGGGCACCTCCAATGGCTGCAGCAGGCCGGCTAGATGTAGTGTGTCTGTCTTGTTCCGCTGGCACACAGAACAGGAGCGGACGTAGTCGCGCACCACCCTGCGATCATGGTCCACGGCGCGAAGGCGGCGGAGCACCAGTAAGGTCTTCGGGCGCCCTCATGTCCCGCCGTGTGCCAACCGCAAAGACGCGTTGGCGAGGAGGCGGGACGTCGGCGGAACGTAGACAGCGGACCCACGAAGGATCAGGCCGTCCTCGACGTGCCACGGCGCACCACGCGACTCCGTTATGGTGTCACGCAGGTGGCGCAGCGTGGCGTCAGCCTGGAGCTCCGCGCGTAGATCGTCGTAGAGGCTGAACGTGGGTGATGACAGGGCAGCAAGGTGCTCTGCCGATAGCTCGCGGCGAGACAAAGCATCGGCAACCGTGTTCAACCGGCCCGGCCTGTACACCACAGTGAAATCAAAACCGAAGAACTTACTGATCCATTGGTGCTGCGGTACCGTGGAGAGTCGTTGATCGAGCATGTATTTGAGCGCGTAGTGATCCGTGCGCACCACAAACCGGCGCCCCCACAGATAGGGCCGCCAATGGCGCACTGCCTGTACAAGGCCAATGAGCTCTCTCATACGCCGCCACCTTCAAGTGCCGGGCGGCGAATGGCTTGCTGAAGAAGGCCAGGGTCCCGCGCCTTGGTGAAGTACAGCGCCAAACCCCGTGCCCGACGCATCGCAGTCCACTACGAACTCCGTGGTGAAGTTGGGAAGGTGCAGGACCGGCGCCGCGGATGGCCCTCCTTGAGGGCGCGTGAAACGCCGGTACCGCTTCGCCGGTCCACCGGAAGCCGCCCCTGCGCAGCAGCTTTGGTGAGGGCGCCGCGACATTGCCGAAGTCTTTGATGAAGCGCCGGTAGTACCGGCGAGGCCGAGGAACCCGCGAGTCCACGCGCCGACGTGGGCGCGCCCGCGACGCCACAACCGCTACCTTCTCGCCATCCATGGCTACCCCGGACGCGGATATGATGTGCCCGAGGTACGCCACCGACGAGGTGTCAAGCGCGCGCCTTAGAGCGCTTTGAGGCGCGGTGATGCGCTGCGAGCTCGGTGAAGACCGCACGTAGATGTTGCAAGTGCTCGGTCCAGGAGGCGCTGTATATGAGTATGTCATCAAAAAATACAAGGACACACTTACGCAGGAACCGCTGCAGTACTGCGTTCATCAATGCCTGGAACGTTGCCGGCGCATTGGTGAGGCCGAACGGCATCACAAGGAACTCAAAGTGCCCGTGATGCGTGCGGAACGCCGTTTTGGCCACATCCTCCGGGTAGACGCGCACCTGATGGTACCCGGCGCGAAGATCCAACTTGGTTAAGTATTTGGCGCCGTGCAGTTCGTCGATGAGCTCCTCGACCACAGGGATCGGAAACTTATCTTTGACGGTGTGGTCGTTCAGTGCGCGGTAATCCACGCAAAATCTCCATGACGCGTCCGGTTTCTTCACTAGCAGCACCAACGCGGAGAACGGAGAGGTGCTCGGGCGAATTATGCCCTGCTCAAGCATGGTCGTGCACCGCGCCTCCAACTCGTCCTTCTGGAGCTGCGGATAGCGGTAGGGGCGGACCGCAACCGGCGCGGTGTTCGGCAGCAGATGAATGCGATGATCACAGGGGCGTGCGGGTGGCAGGCCGGCTGGGGACTCGAAGATGTCGCTGAAGGAGTCCAGCAGCCGGTCCAACAATACCGGCTCGGCATCGCGAACCGCATGCAGCTGCCCCGTTGGTGGAGTGTCCGTGCGCATGGAGCCGATCCCCTTCCAGAGGACGCGCTTGCCGTTGTGCCAGAACGCCATGCACAGGTCGTCGAAGTCCCACAAGATAGGGCCCAGGGTGCGTAAGTACTTGACACCTAGGACCATATCGTAGCAGTCGAGTGGAATGGTGTAGCAGTCGACAGTGAAGTGTTCTTCGCTGATGCGGATGGCTACGTCGCGAGCCAGGCCGTGGCAGCCACGCGGTCGCCATTGGCCACCACCACGTGAGCGCCCTTGCTGTCGTGGAAGTGGAGGCCGACGCGGCGAGCTGCTGCGGAGCTGATGAAGTTATGAGTGGACCCGGAGTCGATGAGGGCAGTGAGCTCGTAGTTGCCGATGGCGATGTGGACTTGCATCATGTCCTCCGTCCGAATGCCGGTGATCACGCTCAGCGAGATGAGCGGTGGCAGCTCGTCTACCGCCGGCGGTGGGGACTGCTCCTCGTCCGGCAGGGGGGGCTTCGAGTCGTGGAAGTCGGTGACCTCCAAGTAGAAGAGGCGCTGGCATCGGTGGCCGCGGACGTACGGCTCGTCGCAGTTGTAGCACAGCCCCTTGCTCCGGCGGTCCGCCATCTCCGTTGGCGACAGCCGTTTGAACGGTCGAGGTGGAGGAGTCGGGGTCGCGGCCGGCGCCGGCAGCTGCAGATGTGTCGACGTCGGCGCTAGCAGGGCCAGCGGCTGCTGTCGCGGCGGTGGGCGTGGTGGTCGGCTGGGCGCCACGGGCACCAGGGCGGCCGCGCGGCGCTCGTATGCACGGGCCAATCCCATGGCCCGCTGGAGATCAGTAGGCCCCTGCAGCTCCACATCGGTGCGGATGGGTTCGGGTAGGCCCCCGGTGAAGAGCCACACCTGCTGCATCGGGGTGAGGGGCTCGGCGTGCGCCAGCCGAGCCAGGAACGCCTCCTGGTACTGCTGAACAGATCCGTCGAACGGTAGCCGCGCCAAATCGGAGAGATGGTTGGTGGCAAGGGCTGGTCCGAAGCGCTGGTAACATAGCGCCTTGAACAGCGGCCAGGAGATGGCGCTGACGTCGCCGTAGTCGCGCTCGAGCATGTAGTACCACTGCTGCGCAACACCATTCATGTGAAAGGACGCCAGCCATAACTTGTCGCCCTCCGGCGTGCGCTGTGCCCTGAAGAAGTGGTCACACTTGTTCAGCCAGCCGAGAGGGTCGTCGACGCCGTCGAACGTGGGGAAGTTCAGCTTCTGGAAGCGCGGAACGCCCAACGCGTCCGCGTGTCCCTCGTACGGCGCCGGTTGCTGCTGAGGCAGGGACATGTCGAACGACGGCAATGGAGACGACGAGTGTGGGAACGGAATCTGGTGGATTGGCAGCATCGGTGGTGGCCCGGACTGCTGCCCCTGCGTCGCGGTATGGACCACGACGGAGCCCGTGGTAGGCAGCGGTGGAATGCCGCCGTACCCCGGCAGCCCATACGGGAGAGCGGTGGACGGCGAGACGAGGGACGATGGACCGGCCGGTGATGGTGAAGTGCGGCCCTCCATGGCCGACAGCCTTGTGGCGAACTGGCCCATCTGTCGCTGCAGACCGTAAACGGCCGCAGCGAGGGTGTCCATCGGAGATGAGGGTGGTAGCGGGGGCGGAACGGTGGTGGTGGTCACGGTGGTGGTATTGGCTGTGGCGGCGGTGGTGGTTGGGGAAAAGGCGGAGGTGGGCGGAACGGTGGTGGTGTTAACTCCGGACATCAGGCCTGACACTGATACCAGGTTGTTAGGATCGTTAGTGATGCTCCGGAGGTTGTAGCTATGGGACGTGGGAGGTTTGGGACGAGTCTCTCGGCGGTGGTGCACGTTGGACGCCGTCCTGACGGCCGGCAGCAAACAGAGACGAGAGAGAGTCGACTGGGGCTCAAGGGCCAGAGAGAGCTTTCTCAATCTCTGACTCTCCCATTATTGAATAATAATTGATTGGCTTATATGGCCCAATCTTACAACTGAAAGTTCCTAAAATTACTCCCTGCCTAGTAACTTGAACTGAATCAAATCAAGATCCTAGAAACTAGGACTCCGAATCTGGACTGAACCTGGGTGCGGTCACCACGCACCGGTGCATGCGCGCGTTGCACCTAGCCACGTGCACGCTTGCACCTCTTATACACTTGACCGACCATAACAACTAATCAATTCTTTTGCTGACATCAGACATCCTATGCCACTACCGACTAATGTAATGTCCTGACAAGGTCCCCAGAAAACAAGAATCATATTTCATCCTCGAGAAAAACAAGAATCCCAGATGCAAACAGGATACTTTGAGCAAATCATCTCATACCCAGGCCATGTTTAGATTGCAAAAAATTTCAACCCGATGAATAGTAGCACTTTCGTCTTATTTGGTAAATATTGTCCGATCGTGGACCAACTAAGCTCAAAAGATTCATCTCGTAATTTCCAACTAAACTGTACAATTAGTTTTTTTTTTACCTACATTTAATGCTCCATACAAATGGCTAAAAATTGATGTGATGGAGAGAGAGCGAAAAAACTTGGAATTTGGAGGTGATCTAAACAAGGCCCCCAGAAAAAAAAATCGAAAATAGCATCAAGCTACCAATGTAGGCCATCCGACATATCGATGGCCGCAATCCCCAACCCGTGTTGGAGGATTTGGTCCACACATAAATAAATGTTATAAAGGGAACACGAACACGGGTTGATTAGTCAAAATCGATGGCATGCGGCTTCCCAGATCGCAGGCATTTGCATCACACATTACTAGTAGGATCTGCACCGCCCCCTCAAACTTCTCTTTCCCACCACGCATTTATATCAAGTTGCGATTTTCGCGCATTGAATTCAAGAAATTAAAAGTAATAAAAGCAACAAGGATAGTAACAACTGTAACGGCACCATCGCATCAGATGCAGAAGAAAACGCGACAAGGGAATTAAAAATGCGGCAACCGGATCGGCACCGGCGGCGAGGTCATGTGCGGATTGTTAGTCGGAAAAATGCTTACTTGAGCCTGGTGCCCATCTGCGCGTGCAGCCCCTCGAGCGCCGCCCTGAAGCGCGCGGCGTCCGCCACCACGTCAGCGTGCTCCGCCACCCGCGCCGGGTAGGCCACGAACCTCCCCCTGGTGCCGGCCGCTGAGGCCGTCACGGCCGGCGCCACCTCCGCCTTCTCTTTTCCCTTCGCGACCACAGCCGCATCCGCGTCCGCGACGGCCTTCTTCTCCTCCTCCGCTGCCGCCGCCGCTGGTGCCGGCTCGCTCATCTGCCCTGCACAAACGCGACGGAACCGTCGTCATCGTCGCCTGCGCCCCGGCGGCAGAGACGCGTGGAGGCGAGACGAGGTGGCGGTGGTTGTGGTGGCCGCCCACCTCCTCTCTCTCTCTCTCTCTCTCTCTCTCTCTCACTCCTCATCAAAGATATATTTTTTTCTGAATCTGTGAAGGAAGAAGGAAAGGTGCCATGCTATGCGATGCCACAATGTAGGAGGAGAGAGTATGATCCATGCGCTTTGCTTACCTTAACCTCGTCTTCTCCGTCTAAACAAAACAACTATGCACCCGCGGCGAATATTTTGGTGCTCCCACTTTGGCTTCCTTTAGGTTTTGGGCAAAAGAAGGGATTACTGTGAGGTTAACGATCTCTAAAAAAATATACTCCTCTCCTATATACTATACTTGGGAACGGATAGGTAGAGAGAGAAAGGATGAGAGAGAGATGACGTTATAACCTAAGGTTGGCCGGAGGTAGAGAGCCATATGTGTTACCGTCAAATAAAGGAGAGATAAGATGGATGGATGCAAACTGCAAACTTATATATAAGACATCTGCTAGTAATAATAGGCATCCATGGATATAGAAAACACATAAAAGAGTACCTTTATAAAAACCAGAAAATAAATAGACAATAGAGACTATGACCTATCTAGACATAGATGGTTGGAACAATGCATTATAGCAATAATAACATCTTACTAATTCTAAAAAAAAACATCTTACTAAAGAGGATACATCCTATACCACTCTAATTGAAATAGTATAAGCCGAGGTTTTTATTAGTATGCCTTCTAATAATGAAACAGTTCTTTTAGCTATTTAACTAGTACTATTATATCTAGTACATCTTCCACGCATCATTTCTAATATGATTCGTATGATTTATATAGGGTCATGTACTTTTGGTTCTATTCTATTGATTCATAAACTTACCAGGATGGGGACCCATCCTATACCACTATAATTGAAATAGTATATGCCGAGATGTGTTTAGTAGTATGCCTTCTAATAATGAAATGGTTCTTTTAGCTGTTTAACTAGTACTATCATATCTAGTACGACTTCTATGCATCATCTCTAATATGATTTGTATGATTTATATAGGGACTGTACTTTTGATTCTATTCTATTGATCCATAAACTCTCTTTGACGAGTAAAACTACGTACACACGGCGATGAAATATATGGCACAAGAACAACAACATTTAATTTTGAGTCCGTCTATGTGTCACTCGCGTGTTTCGCCCTCAACCCACACCCGATTTTTTTCTGGGCATTGTTCTTCTTCCTCCTCTAGTCGTCCGCCACTGTTCCTGCTCATCCTCACCCCTGTTGCCGACCATCGCCCCCCGTGGGCGCTAGGGTTCACTGGAGCTCCAACAAACCCTAGCGCCCACGACGGCCTCCCTCTTCCCCTCCCCCACCGCCGCCACCTTCTCCAGCTCCGGCAAGCTCGCTCGCCACCATCTTCTCCAGCTCCAGCGAGCTAGCCCACTGCCATTTTCTCCAACTCCGGCGAGCCTCCCCCGCCCGACCTGGCCCGACCGCTACTACCACCGTCAGGGCCCCTAAACCACCCAGCCACCATCCACACTACTTGGTCTGCTAGCTCCCCCCCCCGCTGGCCCCTTCTATACCTGTCAGAATTGGAGAAGAAAGTGGAGGAGAGGCTTGCCGAAACCCTAGCCACCGTCGTCGTTGTCGTCGTCGTCGTCTCCGGAGGAGGAGGAGGAGGAGTCAGGCACCTACCTTGTCGGCGTCGGCGCCGCCGGAACCCGCTGCCACCGCCAGAGGGGAGAGAGGAAGGAGTCGCGAGCTCAGCCGAGCGCAGGATCGGATGGCCTCCACCGCGGCCCCTCGCAGATCTGACAGTGCAAAAATTGCACGTCCGTCCTTGCTAAAACACCCGAGTTATGTTTTAGCATTTCTCTTAATTTTATATAGTAACCGCACCAAATAACATCTATCACGCAAATTGCACGAATAGCATTGAAATACCATACAGCTAATGACTAATTAAAGCCTTCGACTAACATTATCATTTTTCCACTTTTGCTTTATATATCATCGATTAGTTATGCTAGTGACAAGAATGGACACTGATAGATATAAAAGTACAAAATAGAGGTAGGATCTAGTATTGATCTTATATGGACAATAATTTAAGCCGTGGCTCTCCTAGGTTTTTATCGCTGACATCACTGTCACTAGAACCGTGTAGAATCACTGCTCCTTTGAACTGCAGGCCCTACAGCGCGAGGCGAAATTACCCCATTTCAAAGTTTACCCGCCCAAGTTCCTGTCAGATAAACTTCGAGAAAAATCCAGGCTCCAGGTATGCAAAGAAAATCAATAATGCTAACTGTTTAATTAGTTGGTACTGCTTTCTCTACTTCCTCTATCCTTTATTCTCTTAAGAAAAAAAAACGAGATTCAACCTAGGGGAAACTAGGTGGTTTTTTATTAAGAAGAGAAATAGGCACCCAAATTCAGTCCAAGAGAGGACTTGAACCTGGGTGGTTGGATGCATTGCCATACCTCTTAACCAACCAGTTGAGCTAGACTCACTTAAGAAAAAAAATAAGAGTTAGGCTGGATTTTTCTTTGCATACCTGGAGGATTGAAAGTACGAACTAATTGAACCGTTAGCATTATATTGATTTTCTCGTTTATGTAAAGAGTTAGGATTAAAGGGGTAGTAGATGTGTTTTTGACAACTAAAAGATGAAATCCTCAATCGGTCGTGATTCTCTCGTTTATATAGAGTGGGGTGGTCTCATCCCAGTAGAAAACATCTCCAAGCCGCAATGTTTAAGTTTTTCACGATCAAAAATAGGTCTAGACCGAATTGGACTCAACCTGGTCTCCGAACAGGGAAACTGGCTTGGCCGGTTTTCTTGGGGCCAGGCCGTGTCAGGCAATGCACAGGAAAACCGACACCCGACTAGGCTAGTTTTGGCGGATCAGGCACAAAACAATTCTTTTCTTCATTTAACCTCCAATGTTGTTGTTCCAAATATTTTTCTTTGTCGTCTTGATGCCAGGAACTTGATGCTGGAACCCACTACTCTCGTTGGCATAGTTTTGTTGCCAATATATGTCCTCCTGATTTTAGTTTACATGAACCTGAAAACATAAAAGACCAAATAGCAATGATGTCCAACTCATCGGCTACTCGAGATGTAAGGGCGATGTATACAACGGTCATTTTTGTTCTAAGGGTGATACATGTATCGGCCATTGTTTGAACAGCACTCTAGAATTCTTGCCAAACACTTGGGAAATATTTCTTCAAACACCTCCCGTTAATTACTCTTGGTAGACAATCACCTTGCAACATCTCAAGCATATATGAATTTCCAAATATCATTTTGATCACTTTATAAGGACTTTCTTAACTCGGCGACCACTTGCCAAACTTGTTGCTTTTTGTTCCAAGGAGTAGTACGGTTTTCCACACTAAATCTTTAACTTGGAATGGCATACTTTTGACTTTCTTGTTATAGGCTTGGTCAACTCGAGCTTTGTCTTTCTCAATGTCCTTTAGATCTTTATTCCTCTGTTAGTCACCTCATCGACGTTGTCCATCATCGTTCATGATACATAACGACAGACATATCATTTTGTCTTGCCAATCTATATGCATCCAAATTCACCTCAATGGGCAACACAGCTTCTTGTCCATACATTAGCTCAAAAGGAGTAACTTTAGTAGCACCATGTCTGGATATACGATGAGTATAGATGGCAACAAGCACATTTTTCGCAGCAACATGGTATGGAAACCCACACCCACACCCATTACCCTCGACGAGTACAAAAGTGTGCCCGCACCCGCGACCCGCGGGCACAGCATACCCATGGGCACACCCACTAGCATGCCATACATCAACACACAAAGTGAAAGTAACAACTAACAAGGCAAATGGATCACAACATTATACTACATTACATGGAGATACCAAATTCTACACACATTATGGTTCAAATATCACACTCACACTGTCACACAGGACACAACACCCACATGTCAGGGCTCTGGAGCCGGTTCACGGGTCTAGCGGGCACGTGCATGAGTTTTTTTGTACCCGCCAGATTTTACACATTGGGTTCAATTACAAACCCTCGCCCACACCCTGGGGAGCCCCTAATAGGATCTAGATGGCTAGAGGGGGTGAATAGCCTATAAAATTTTCCTACAAACTCACAAATTCACTAGAGCAAAGTGGTTAGAATAACAAAAGATCCTAACTAGCTTCTACTTTGCACTAGCTCTATCTCACTCAAGCAACCCTCCTACTCAATTCTAGTTGTTAGGTCTCTAGGTTGAATCACACAAACATACAAGCTAGCAACTACTCAACTACACAAGAGAGCTAACTAGAGAGCTAATTACAACTAGTTACAACTACAAGCTACTCTAGTGCTACACTAAACAAGAGAGCTACAACTACTCAAACTACACAAGCAAGCAAGAAAGCACTACACAAGTAGACTAATGAATGATTTGCAATTGTAGAGCTTTATACCAAACCGGGCAAGAGAGATGACACAAGATATATCCCCAGGTTTGGTTGCTTGACAACAACCTACGTCCTCATTGATTCGTGAGCTAATTGGCTTCATATGCCTATCCCACCACATGGGTGCCACAAGAATCACCCATGAAGTGCACTCCAACTAGCCACGATTCCACTAAAGTTTCTCTTTGTGAATCTCATGCGGGAAATGAGCACAAGAGCCCCTTAAAACCAATCGATTAGAGTCGGCAACAATCACCAAAGCCACTCAATGATCCTTTGCTGCCTCCATGATGCCTAGGTGGCAGCAACCACCAAGAGTAACAAGAATCACGCAGCTCAAACGATCAATAGTACCACTAGATGCTTCAACTCAATTCAAATGCACTAGAATCACTCCTAATCTGACTTTGGATGAAGCAATCGACAAGGAGATGTGTCAGTGTTTTCGGACCATCGACGAGTAAA